AAATATTGGAAAGAGCATTAAAATGAAATGCTCATTAAAATGAAATGCTACTTAGAGAGTAGAAGTTATGTCACAACTAATTATGTTGGATTATTTTGTTTTGTTTTTAATCGAGGAAACATCAAGATCAGCATGTCTTTTTAAGTAAAACCTGTCTTTATTCTAAAAAAAGCAGTGACTTCCAACTCGCTGTGCATTTTCAACTTCTTATGGTCCTTGCTGTACATGTGCTGGACAAGAATCCAGAATTTTCCACAGATCTACTGAAGAAAGAAGACTGTCTATACAGCAATGAATTCACTCTAAAGCAGTCCAAAGGAAGTAGAGGTGCCTTATTCTAGGGCTTTCCTCTACACATATACAGAAAGTATTAATTCTTGTATTTTTATGAAGAAATATTACTTCAAGATTTCATCCTTAAATCCTTTCTTTAGATCATGCTGCTTTTCTTCTCATCCAAAGGCAATGCTCCGACAACCCTGCAAGAACACTTAGCTCCTACACAATCCAGTACAGATAAAAAGTGATAACTCTTCTTCCAACAAAGTAGGTGAAATCTCTCACCCTGGTTTACAGAATGGGAAAACAATGGTAGGAAGTCAGCAGCAGGGAAAGAAAATATGAACTACTGACTCCAAGTGCTTCATTTTGTAACTGTTAATTCTTTGTTTAAATGACATTTCTATGTTTCCTGTCTGCTGGCAGATAAGAACATAATGTGCAGAGAGCAGCTCAAGACAGCTTCTGGACAGCCATGCTGCAATCCTGCCAATGGGATGCAGCAGTGGGAGCCAACAGACCTGAATTGTGTTCAGTTCCTAGCACTGACTCACTGTGTAATTTCTGCTCCAATTACATCTTTCTTCTTCAGCCTCATTTTGCAGAGTGGCACCTGGTAACATGCCCACCTTTCATGAGTATGTTGAAATCTACAGATGAAAAACTCTGGAAATAGATGAGACATTACTGGTCAAAGTTCCAAGTCTTTTTGAAGGTCTGTACAAGGAAAGCTGCAGGAAGACGGACTTATGAAAACAAACTGAACGTGCACTGTGAGAGCTAAGTCTTGGTTCAGTACCAGGATTGTGCCTAGAGTGCATGTTTACAATCTTGATCAGGATGGTTTTGTGAATTGGGACACAAACTCTTAATCATGTGAAATGTAAAATAAGTGATCCTGTTAATCAGTTTACACAGAAAGTAGACATTGAATACACAAATACCAGACCTGGCCCTGAATGCGAGTTCAAGATGCAAATACAGATTGAAAGCAGGACTAATAAGCCGATACTTGTAAATACCAAGCAGTTATTAACACATTTTATAAGATTAACACCTGCGTAACAGCAGATAATATGCAAACACCATTAAGTAATCAGCTAGTCCTCGTTTACACACAATAGGATATTAACACACATACTGCAGAAGTTGAGCTTTAATGAACAAACTTAAGGCTTCAAAACTCTATTGGAAACTGTTTAACCCTGAACTATTTGAGCCAGCTCTAATATACAAGGACTGGGCAAGGAGGTGGAGGGGCTAATGCAATTTTAAACCATCTGTACTGCAAGCAGGGGAAGACTGCTATTTCCATCCTCTGTATGACCGACTCCTCACTCACAACATCACACCACTTTTCAAAGCATGATCCACCAAATAGTATTTTTTGGTGACCTGCTGACTCTCCACACTTGTAAGCCCAGGAGTGAAATGTAGGAATAGGTTTCCTTGCCAGCCAGCTCCTCCCTCTTAATTCCAGTTCCAAGAACATAATGAAACTAACAGAGGAAGTTTCTGAAACAAGGAGGAGTACTGAGAACAAGAAAACAAGGTTAGCCAGGAGGACTGTCATTAATTATATAATCCAGCCTTTGGGCAACTGGACATTTAGGGAAAGGGGCTCAGAGCACATTGGAGTCATCGGCCTCTGCAGTATTATGTCATCTCGTCTGCTAGTTACAGGTACAGGGTTTGTATAGGGGGGGAAAAACCCACCCAATAAACAACAAACCCTTTATTTCTAGCACTATGAATCCCCACAACACTTGCAGAAAGAGTGCACAAAAATGAACACATTCTGCTCCCATTTAAATTGATTTCTTTCCAAGGAGCTATTTCTCCTGTTTTCTCCCTTCTGCCAGCCTCCCCAGCACCACCACGCTGTCCTGCATAACACCCTTTTGTCAACCATGTTCTAAATTTTGTGCTCTTATCCCTTCAGTGAGTAAGAAGCTTGTTCTCTATCACCCAGGAACACACAGCAATTGCTACTGCTGAAAATACATCAGAAATGCAAACTATTTTAGGTGGCACTGAAGGATGGAAGAGAGGAAGCGGTACATCACTGTACTTTTCAAAACAAAATGTTAGCCTCAAACATGTTTCAGAAATAATTAGGAGGAGGAGAGTATTTATAATCTCAAATACTCAAAGGCAGAGTCTTGCCAGCAAGCATTTTATTTCCATTTAGGTAGTAAAGCAGGTGTCAAAATGAAGGATGGAAGAGAACTGTATTTTTAATTAAGTGAGCAAACTACGCTGTGCTTCATCAAAACAGGAGAAAAGTGTCATGAAGAAAAAATGTTCAAATAGGAAGACTGGTATTTAAAGGTATCCAGCCCTGCACTGTAAGCAAGAGCGACTGCTGAGTGACAGTACCATATTCTGAAGATCAGAAAGAGAAGATAGAGGTAGAAAGAATGGGGAAGAGGATGAAATGGCTGATCCCCCAACTAAGTAAATAGTTCACATACTTGAAAGTTGTAAGTATACTATAATCCTTCCTGTCCTGAAGCCTTCATCCCCCCTTCTTGCTCTTGCAGCTCCCCAATGCCTCCCACCACTGCATCGCCCAGACGCTTCCTCCAGCACCATCCCTGACCCATTCCATCCTTTGTGAGCTTCCAGTCCTGAACATCTCTCCCTTTTCCAGTTCAAGACCTGACAGCTCAGAGTTTCTCTACCTCCTGCCCCATCTCACAGTCCACAGCTGCTGGTTCCCAATAATGACAGTGCTGCCAGCCTCAGTGGCCAGCTCCTCAGCCTGCCCCACAAAGTCCTGATCTCTAGCAGATGCTGAACAAAACACAAAAGTTGGTCTGTGATTTCCAAGAAATTACCTACACACAACTCTGAGCATAACCAGGACACAGCTATGGAAAAAAAAGTGTTGTACCACAGTCTTTCTCATAGCTGCTATGAATCACAAAACATTAAGACTCTTGCTGCCTGGTACTGCTGAACACCTTGAAACAAGATCTGGTAAGGTTAGTTTAGGATCAGAACTGTGTAAATTTCAGGGAAGCTGCTTTCTGGAAGGTTTAAGTCCTGGCTGCACTAGGACAGCACAAAAATCAGAGATTTGTACAAAGCAGCATGAACAAATATAACACTCAGGGAAAAAAAAAAAGTAGGGGGGTTGTGTGAAGAAAATAGCTCCATCTTCATAAGGCTTCCCTCAAAAGCACCCAGGCTATCCATACCCCACTGCCTGACAGAGAGATTTCTTCAGATCAGTAAGAGAAAATTCTAGCTTTGTGGAGACCTCATAGGAGCCTTCCAGTATCTGAAGGGGGCCTATAAGGATGCTGGGGAGGGATTCTTCATTAGGGACTGTAGTGATAGGACAAGGAGTAACGGGTTAAAACTGAAACAGGGGAAGTTTAGATTGGATATAAGAAGTTCTTTATTGTAAGAGTGGTGAGGCACCGGAATGGGTTGCCCAGGGAATTTGTGAATGCTCCATCCCTGGCAATGTTCAAGGCCAGGTTGGATAGAGCCTTGGGTGACATGGTTTAGTGTGAGGTGTCCCTGCCCATGGCAAGGGGGCTGGAACTGGATGATCTTAAGGTCCTTTACAACTCTAACTATTCTATGATTCTACGTCTGCTACACCCATCTTATGCTGGACTAGGCCAAGAAAATCACTCCAAGGGAAAACTGTTCAGCCACTGCTCTGAGAAGAGATTGAGCAAAGTACAGTCCCCTTGAAACAAATCAGTAACTGAGGCTCAGAACGGGATTGTTAATTGCCTGAAGCTGACAAGAGTTAAGACAGCAGAACCATGACTTGAGAAAGTAGACAGTGGCATTTGTGGCTGTATACACACACAACAGCAAGTCTTTCTTCTCCTCCAAAGCAATTTCTGTACAACAAAAGCCGTTCTTAATATACAAGATTTAGGGGCAAAACCCCACATCCTTTCCCAGAGCATCCAGCAGTATTGTACTTTTTCAGTATCTAACTTAAGAATATCAATAAACCTGTAGTGACCAGCTCAGGTTCTCCTACTTAAATTCCAGTCTAAGAAGATGAGAATTTCTGTATTTGCTTCTACAACTCATTCCTATTTTTCAGTTGCATATAACTCTATTACCTACAAGTACAACTCATGCATCATCTGGCTTCCAAATAACGTTCCTGGTTTTAACTCAGTGTCCATGAAACATCTGTACTGATGTTCACTAGAAAAATGTGACTGATACATACCCAAGATAGACCTGCAACTTGTAGCTGGGGACAGATTTACCAGTGGGTTTTAGTCCAGATATAATGTGCTATAATGCAGCAGCCAGATTCAGATTTCAGTTCAGTAGGGTTACATTTGATTTAGAGTGATGGGGAATACAAGTAGGGCTCCAAAACATCACCTTTATCAGAAAACACAACATCATATTTACATTACTGGCTCCACTGGTGTTTTACTAAGCTTTCCAACCTTGCTTTATTCACAGCACAAAGTTGTCTACAGAGATGGACAGCAATTAGGAGGCCAAGCGATCTGCCTTTGGATATGACTGTTAAATAACTACTAAGCAGTCATGACTGCCTGAAATTCCGTCAGCAGTAATACATGCCTGACCATATTACCATAGCATTTTGAAGGCTCTTCTATTAAATACCACTCTTCCTGGCTTCTGTGGATTAAACTAAATACATTTCATTTGGAAACATCCTTAAAAAAACAAAGAGAAAGATAAACATCCAAACGCACACAATCCAAATGCAGCAAATTGCACTGTTCGACTAACTGCAGTCTTTACTTGCATGTCTGCCATGATTACTACTAAAATACTCAAACATTTCACTATAAGGAAGACTTTGTAGGTCATAGCAAGATTGTGGTTAATTTTTTGGACAAGTTTTCCATTTTGGGGACAGCTGGCTCCATACAGAAATACCTAGACAACACTTCAGGGCTTGTATTTGGACAGAAGACAAAAAAAACAGACGACTCCACTATTTTTAATTTCACTGTAAGACTGTTCTTTTCTCAACACCTCCACCATCTGAATTACAAGCCTTAAAAATACGCATGCACACTTCAAAATACAAGCTCAATGTCCACAGCTTCTCAGTCCATGCTGGTGGTATTGCTTCAACTCTGTTTACAGTGTGATTCAGTCATTTTCACAGCAATGAACTATGATGGCATGAAGCAAGCATCTGTGTCATCAATGGGAGAACAAAGGAGGCTAGTTAAAGTTCAGAAAGAACAATATGAAACTTTCCTACAGAGACAGACCTTAATACCTCTGTACTTACTGAAGAAAACTTTTCTACTCCAATATTATCTTAAAAGAAACTATGGAATAAGGAGATTTAGGGAGAAATATTTACACACATATATGCTATGTATAATCACATATTTGTGGCATAAACATCAGTAGACTCTGTACAACTCTGCTCACCCATCTGACTGCTGTGACTGCAGAATAATTTCTCAGGTGCCCTCAAAGGGCTATTGTTGAAACAGAGTTAGTCATGGTACTGCCTGGCACCAAAATCAACTTTGGTAATTATGTAAGGTGGCAGCAATACCACTTGGAAGGCTTGTTTACCAGTGACATTGCACAATGCAAAGTGGAACATGCTTGCCAGACGTGGCTACAGTTCAAGATGAAAATATCCTTGCAGAGTTACCAGGCACAAGGGATCACCTATTGCTTCAGTAGCTACAGAAGTGCAGGTCCCTACAAAGCATAGAGAAGCAACTATCTAACCAATACAGAACAGTGTTACAGCCACTAGTTATGAATGTAGACATTACTTTAGGAAGTGATGGCTTCCAGCTCAATCACATACAGAATTGAAGATTTTGAACAAAATTTTTACGAGTGGCAATGCCTATGGCTGTGGAAGTGAGCATAGAATCATGCCCATAGAATCATGCCCAGCTTAGCATAGTAGACCCACAAACCTTTCTGATGTGCCATGGCTACACAAGCCAGTAGGCACAATTCATCTAATCAGAAGCCATATAATCTGGCCTGAGCTGTTTATTCTTCTCTCTTGTGCTCCCCATTCTGCTTCAGCCAAGAACACTCCTATCTGCTGCTATCACCACCGTGTACCTTCTGTAGCAGAGGTACAGCGAGTTCATTTGTTAAAGTAAGTTCAGCAAGTAATTTTGCCAAATGAACTAGTGTGGGTTAATGCAGCTACTTAAACAATGTGCTAGGAGACAGCCTCAGGTGAATGGAGTACAGAGCACCACGATCCCATGAGAAACTCCTGAGCAAATATGTACGTTTCACTAACATTTGATATTTATTAGGCAGCACCAGAACACCACTTAGTCGCTATTTCTGCTTAACAATTGGCAGATGTTCAAACACAGGCCAAACAAATCCCTTACAAGTTTTAAGTGAGATTTCAGGAGTTACAGAAAGATTTTAAGTTGCAATCCTCACAAACCTGTCAAAAGAAAAATGGCAGGATTATCAAAGACAGCTTTGTTTCCTCTTACGCCATACAACAGAATAAAGCTATTTTCCTTAAGCTCCAAGTGAATGATAAATTGTCCAAGGGGTTGCTTAGTTTGGAAAAATTTTTCTCCTTAGCCTCCAAATCACTTACAATCTGCAGGTTTGCCCTCACTAATCTGGTCAGGAATCGAAGGCAGACAAACAGACCTCCCCGATGTTGCTGAAGCAGTCTGTATCACTGGTTTCACAACTGTGCCAGGTCAGGTGTGTTGAGCATCAGTTTGACTATTAGCTGTCACAACTCTCAGGTCTAAATTGCAGCCAAACATACTACCTCTCCTAAAAGCAGAAAGGTTGGAAGCATATCAGCTTTGGTAAAGACTAGACAATTTGATTCAGAAAAGGCATACCAGAACTGAAGCAAAGACCTGCTTATGTCCCAAAACAACAAAAATGTTGTTTTGAATCAGAGTATCCACATTAAAATAAGTATTTATCACAGATGTGCCAAGCAACACCTGACTACAGGGGCCTGCTGTATTGTGCAGATGGAATAAGCCTTTGCCACAAAGAATTTCCACTCTAAATCAGCATTTGTACCTAAATCCCATCTAAGCCTGGCTCCTTTCCCATGACCTCCAAAATCCAGGTATAATATATCAGTATTTTATTCAGGTTACCAAGCTGTGAAAAAAAAGCAACGAAAAACCAAACCCAACCAACCAAAACCCTGAGGAAAACATCACAGTGATTAATTATGGGAAATAAATTCTGAATTTCTTAGTTAAAAATAAAAATCAGGATTCACAGATATCTGCCACTCTATGCTAAAGATGTGGCCAGGGCACAACTGAGAACTGCCCACAATTAGAACAAACCATGATTTCAGAGCAGCCTATTTTAGCTTTTCTCAGTCTAATCAGTTAAAGCTACCAAAATAGTTCAGAAGTTTCAGTATCTGCTACAAACCTATCAGTAACTCTTTCACGCAAGCAAGCAGATGCTAAGAAAAGCCTAGAGATGCAAAAGAACTTGCAGCAATAATTCTCTAGACCATGTCCACATCTAGGGCATGGGACTCACTTCATTTTTATTTCTGTAATTCTTAACACCAGAGCAGTCTGAAGCCCAGCACTGGCACTTGCTGCTGAAGCTAAGCCCCCCTGCTAACTGGATCACACAACATGTGAGAAACCTTCTGACCCACAATCACCATTCAGATGACCCAGGCTTACACTTTAATCTAATTATGATTTTAACCATCCACAGGTGCTGCAAGAATGAAGGTGATACTGGGTCTTAAAACCTGGAGAGGGAAATACCCTTTCAGTTCCAGTGATAAAACTTAAAACCACCTATTCAATAAACATGAAGCTGCTTTGCTGACACATATTCTAAGAAACCAGGGGGACAGGCAACGGAAAAATCTGTCTCTCTCTTGCAGCCAAGTAGGTTTTTAAAAATGAGAAAGAACCAGGCCTTCTGGAAATACAAACTGATTTAGTAGTTCTGTAGGAGGGCTGGTGCCTCGTGACATGCACTGAACAGACCTGTACTGAAGGCTCCAATCCGGAAGCTGAAAACTTGGTTCCTTACCAACATCACAGCAGGACTGAAGAGATTAGTGTACATGAAATGCTTTGAAAAATTAAAATCGTTAGGTAAGTACTAAGTATTATTACAATCATAACAATACTTAGGACAGAATCATTATTATTCACTTTAAATTACTGTAAAAATATCATTTTATTTATGAATTAAATGCAAAGGGAACCACTGAAAAGCCAAGAAAACAGTAGTCCTCCAGACAAAAAAACAAACCAAGGTACAGTACAGAAAAGTGCAAATAACAAAATGAGCTAATTCCGTATCTGATACAAACCAGTATGCCTCAGATTGACCCATGGAAACAACCTCCAAGAAATATGTTCAAGTGCTTTGGGTTCTTCAGTCTGGCCAAATATGAACCCCTAAGTCTAGAAGACAGCAAACAGATATAGTCACATAGACGGAAATGCTTCCTTTAAGTTGGTGAAGAATGCCAGGATGGATGAGGCTTTAAGCAACCTGGCCTAGTGGAGGGTGTCCCTGCCCATGGCAGGCAGGCTGGAAACAGATAATCTTTAAGGTTCCTTCCAACCCAAACCATTCTGTTTCTATGAAGAATAGGGACTCTTTTGATCATGAGCTGTTTTCATTACTTATCATTTGTGTCTTCTCCATTTGAGACTGTGGCAACCTGTTCCTCTGAGAGCTATTCTGTGTGGAAACAGAGCTTGAGTCCCAGACTTCCACCTCTTTAAAACTGATGTTAGCTGTCAATGTCCTGCCACTCTAAAATACTAAAAATAAAAGCTCTAAGTGAGGGATTCAACAGGAAAAGAACTTACTCTCCCAAATGTTCTAGCACAGCAGTTAAGGACAGTGATTTCTTCAGATGCATTAGCAATATAGCCCTGTGAAACCTGTGGCCTCCAGAACACAATGCCTCTCCACTCTGAACCTCTGAATTTTGCACTCTATAAGTATGTGGGGGCAATTTTGAACAATCTTAACAATCCAGCCCTCTAATTATAGACATTAAAGCCCACTTTAAAGTGTGTGGTAAAGACAAGGTGCCAAAATGTACCTATCAAAGAGAACATCCAGTTGAAGTCTCCAAAAGAAAAACCTTTCATTGTACATGATGGAAAACATTCACAAACTTACTACAGGTGGTAACCTTATTTCTCCAATAGCATTGTACTGTGTGTTCTGTAGTTGTCAGGAAGTAACTGTACGTTTTTCTTTAAGTGTATACATCATACTTTACCTACTACAGTAACATTTTCCAACCTCAGAGGATTTTGTTCCACTGACTGCACAATGAACAAAAACCACAACAGCTAAAAGACAGCCCCTAACCTTTGCAAAATTTTGGCCCTGAACTCTGTTCATGCTTCTAAAACAGGAAAGTAGTTTTTTGCACGTGACAATAGCTTCTCTGTATCTTTAAATGTAAATTTCTTGTTATCAAGGACAGTCTTTTCAAAATTCGTCTGCAGAAAAGCTGAACTTCAAGAAGCTTACATTATCTGAGGAGGTGCTTTGAAGTGTCTATTTCTAATCCTCCCATCTGAATGACAAAGAAGTTATTTGCAATTGTGAATCTTAAAAATGCAGATCTGAACTGATGCCTCTATGTTTGTGTAACTCATTAACACAAACTCTGCAACTCAACCCTTATGTCTTTGCTCCATTCCAAAGTGAAGCACTAGTGCTGTCTCTTGAGAAGATTACTCTTGGTGAGCCAGTGTTTCTACATGTACATTCTGAGACCCAGCAAAAAAATCACATTTTCAAAGACATCTGAGATAACATTTTCTTTATCTGCTATTACAAAGCGACAGCCACAACCCAGGATCCCTTATTCATGTACTGTACAAGTCTGAAAACAGACAGCAATGGGGTTTGCAGAATGTCTCCAAAGCTGAGAAGAAATTTTCTACCAAATTTTACACAAAAGCAGAAACGAGGCTCTGGGCCCTGGATCCCCCATGATCCAGCAGATGCTGTTTCCAGCTTCAGCAAGTTTTCATTCAGAAGCAACTGCCTCCATGTTCAATAGTGCCTCATGGATCACATACAAGATCCTGTTAGCCTGTATAAATGAGAGGCCTGATTAAGAATTACAGCAAAAATACAATACACAACTTTTGACTCGGTGAGCTAAAAACCTGCATTATCACCATTTCCACCTGTCATCTCAAAGGGGTGCAAATGTATGGTTCATGATGGTCCTTCATGAGAAGCGTCAAGCAACAGTTGTATCTCCCAATTCCCAAAAACTTGTATCTTTATTGTAACGTTAATGCTCTAATAAAACCTACATGAGAAAACTAATCTGTGCACCTTCCCCATGGCATGTATGAATTTGTAAAGTTAGAAGTCTTTGGTTCAGGACTGGCTTAAAAAGAAAACAAATACACAGTTGCTATTTCACCTCCACGTAAGTCAAAGGGGTCTCTTCCACTTCTGCTTTGGTATGTGAAACTGACCGCTGTGGCCCACGGGATGCAGGAGCCCCGTAGCAAGGCCAAATTCCACAACTCACACCTACTCAAAATGCCAAAACCAAAGGCAGAGGTGACAATGTTTCCCACCATCGGAGCTGCAGTGTGTGGCTTTGCCTCACCGTATGGAGCAACCTCCTAAACCTGCTGTGGGAGCTCAGGGACCGGCGGGAGGAGAAAGGGCCCAGCGCCTTCACCCCGACACCCGTGGCCAGGGCCCGTGCAACACCCACGGCGGTCACCTCCAGGGCCCGCTGCTCCACCCGCCCTGCCCAGGGGAGCTCGAAACTCCTCACGCCTCGCTTTGCACAACACCTTACAGAGCAACAGCCGCTCGCTGGGCAGAGCCTCCCAGTTTCCCACGTCCCTTCCCTGCCCAGACCTACTTCTCCCATCCCTCCCTCCTTCCCTCCTCCCTCGGGTTTCACTTCGCCCGCAGCCGGTCAAGGGCCCGGCCCACCGCCGCCCGCGCTGCCTACCCCGGCAGGGGGTGACGGGGCCGGCGGAGGCCCGGCGGGGAGCGGCGGCCCCGCCGAGGGGCGGGAGAGGCGAGGCCGGTACGGGCCCCGCGGCGGGGGTGGGCGGTTAGCCCCGCCGCACTCACCTCCTGAAGTCAAAGGGCATGTTGGTGGCGAGCGCCGGGCAGGCTGCGGGCCCCGCCGCCCCCGGCCCCGGCTCTCGCCTCGCTGCCGCCGGCTGCAGGGCCAGGAAGTGACGGGCCCCGCCGCCGCGCAGCACCAGCCCATTGGGTGGCTGGAGCCGGCCGTCGCTTCCGCCGCCGGGTTACGGGCAGCGGCGGGAGCGGAGCCCTGCGGGGTGGCAGGGCCGGGTTTTGCGGCCGGCCCCCGGGGCACTCCTCCGGCCGCGCCTCCTCGGCAGCACCTCACTCCCACTGCTTTGAAGGGCTCTCTGCATGGCTGCAGTACCTCGCAGCTCTGAGGGCCCTGCCAGCACCCCATGGTGGGCTCCTCACACACCCCGACCCTTGCCAGCCCTTTCAGCCGACCCTCTCTGTGCCCACAGCACACCAAAGGCCCTGCCAGACCCCGTGGGCCTTCTCAGTGCCTGCCCAGGCCCTAGCAGCACCTGTCGGGCTGCTGTGCTGTGGGTGTGCCCAGAGGTGACCCAGGCTGGCAGAGCAGGCTCAGCACGGTGCTGCTGGCAGTCTGCAGTCGCTGCCGTGTTAGCGAGGAGCGTTGGAGTCTCACAGCTTCTCCACAGTGCTCCCGAGCTGCCTGCAGACACGGGACTGCCCGCACCTGCACGCAGGAGTGTGTTGGCTCACGCAGGTGCGGTGCTTCAGGTTGTACTGAGCTTCTCTTGCACTCTGAGCATCTCAATAATAACAACTGATGTTTGTGAACGCAGCACAGGCTGTGCTGTCTGGAGATAGTCAAGCTGCAGTGACAGACTAGGGAAAGGTATATGCTTCAAAGTGCCCATAAAGGAAGGAAAGCTGCACCACTGAAAAACACATAACCCTTCCCAGTAGAGAATGAACTCTTTGGTTGCTAGCATGACTCCATCACTTGCTGCGGACTGTCTTTCTGCAGCTTTAGTGGAGGCCAAGGAATTACAACAAGAAAGAGCTCCCCATTCTTTGGGTGAGAAATCACCCCAGTATTGCCATTTTGCTGAATGCTTTTGTCTGAGCTCATCCCTTCCACGTTTAATGCAACACACATGGCTAATCCTGCACTGCTTCATACAGCACCTGGGCTCCTTCCCTTAACAACGTCACTGGCTAATAGCATCAGTCAGTGGCTTTTTGCTGCAGGTAATGTGACCACTGCTATATTAAGAAGTGCTTTCACTTGTGTATGGTCCACATTACATTACAGTTCAAGAATAAAATACAGCTACCCTTTTTAAGGGTACTGCCTTTTTTTAAGCTACCTGCCTTCTAAGTCTAAAAGCAGGGCAAGAGGGAAATACTGTGTGCAACATACTGCTTTTCTAATAGATTTTGCAGCTTTCTTCCTCTTGCTGTCATAATCTCTGCACTTAGAGACCCAGATATTCCCATTTTTCCCTTTCACCCAGAAGCTAGGCCCATACCTGGGTAAAAAATAAATCCAGATTCAAACAAGCAGAGAAAACCTGACAGTGTCAGGGCTGTTAGTCAATGCCATAGTCTTTCAAGGGAAGAGATAATAACTGATGCTGGGACTATTCAAAGCTAAAAGGGAGGGTGAGATAACAAGGCACAATCCCTCAGAAGCCCCCAGGGAATAGATAAAAATACCTAATTGATTTTTTTTTTTATCTCAGACATCTAAATTATCCAACCACATTGTGCAAGCTTATTCAGCAGATTGCTAATAGATCAGCCACAAAATCCTGCAGCACTTTGCACTGTGCTCCAAAACTGAACAACCCACTGAAATTAATGAGACAATTCTCATCTGTCATGAGGTCAACCAATTACACAGGCATAGCCAGCGGGTACTATCTGTAGTGGAAAAAAACCAAAACAAACCAGTGCCTATCAAGTTGGTTACACAACCAAGTGCTCGCCTAGGCTCCTGGCAAGGCCCCAATATCATTAACTATTATTAGCTGTCTTGTGCAAAGGCATCAGCTCTCTCAGGAGCCAGGAGAGTGCTGAAGTGGTTTACAAAAGCACTTCAGTTGTATGGTAGACAAATCTTGAGGTGGCCTTGAAGAGTCGTTCCTTTTGCAGGCTCAAGAACACAACACAGTGAGAGCTCACATTGTGAAGATTTTATTTGCAACTAAACGGTTAAACTCTGAAGAAAGTAATGGGCTCACAGCAGTGCCAGGACAGCTTTCCAATTGGGTCTAGCTGACTTACATCCTTGCCAAGGAAAGAAGAAGTTAATACCCTGAGATAAGACCCTCGTCACAATATTGTTTAATTACATAAGGCTTCTAGTGAGCCTGAGATAAGAACAGGAATTTGTCCCCAGTCCAGCTGGGTGCGGCTGCTTAGATCATGTTGTGTATTACAATGGGAACTAAAAGCACAGGTTCATTCGTGGTGATTGTCACATCATTAGAACTGGAATGAGTAAACTGATGCTGACACCCCATTTAAAGGTTAGCTCTTTTTTGTGTGAGCAGTAAACTAACGTTTTCCTGACAACAGTAGGCCTGAAACTATCGTTTCTCTTCAAATTACTTTAGGAGCATTAATTGAGCCAAACTGCTTCTCTGAAATCAGTAAGTAAATATTTTCAGAACCCTTTATCAGTGAAGAAAATGAAGCAGAAGGATTGATTCACCTCAGACTACAGAATAAGATCAGTTTCCACTCTAAAATTAGTAAACAAATCCTTTAGTTTCTAATTCTTCTTGCAAAAAAAAAAAAAAAAAAAATTTCCTCATTCTGGTTCTCCTAGGTAACTCAGATACTGGATGACTGTATCTGGATTTTTAAGTAATGCCTCACAGCAACAAAACTGGTACCTTCTTCCTATTAAAAAAAAAAAAAGTGTCCAAAAAGTGCTTTATTTGCATTGTCTTAATTCCATAAATTCATTCATTCAGCTGAAATGTATTCTGTCCAGGTTTCCTAGATATTCCTGATTTCCAGCTGATATACTGTTCTTTCCTTCTAGCTTAATAAAGTTTATATTAATCCCTG